GAATTACCCACCGCTACCCACAGTCACCTACAGTCACCTAAAAACAACCAAAGCCACCCAAAGTCAGCAACAGTCACCCACAGCCACCCACAGTCTCCAAACGTCACCCACAGTCACCAAAAGTCACCCGAAAACCACCTCACCCACATTTACCTACATTCACCCACAGCCATCAACCACTCACAAATAAATAAACAACCACACAATGTCACCAACAGTCATCAAATATTACCCACAGTTGCACCCACAAGAAAAATTACAGAAATCATTTAAAACCCCTCTTTCAAATTAGCCAAAGTCTTGACAAAACAAATGAATTCAGAACAAATCAGAACAAACGTGTTTGGATCCGTTTGTTTTTATAAGGATTGCATATTAGGGACTTATCTACTAAGCAACTGAATCAGCAATATTAATAAAAAATGCTAATTCTAAATATATCTACCGAGTCTAGGAAGAATCTCAAATGGTTATTTGTATACACTGTAGGGGGTGGACTCAGATCGGTCCGATTGTGGGATCAATATAACAGAAAGATTAACGGCACTTAGGAGACTCACTCTCCCCTAAGTAGCACATTCCTTATCTTCTTAATATTGATTTATAGTTTTATATTAGGCTAGTATTGTACCTACATGACTAGATGGTTCATAATGAGGATCCTTGTTTGCTGACCACACGTAAGACCTGATCCAATTTCCAACTCCTGATACTGTCCAGGGGGGGAAATATTGGAGGTCTGGTGTATACAAATAACCATTTGAGATTCTTCCTAGACTCGGTAGATATATTTAGAATTAGCTAGTCTAGATCTCAGTTTTTTCATTGGAAGGTTACTGCAGGGTGAGTTATATGATATAGTTACATTGTTTCTGTAACACTTTATCAGATTTGATACTTGGTATTAACCTAGACTACATTTACAGTTTAGCAACTTTGTATAGCAACAGACTAAGGTGCACTCGCAAACTATTACATTTACTGAACTACGACGACCAACAACCTGCGCTCTACCATTACCAATTTTACTTCACACATCACGTTTGATACACATTATCTCTGTATTTTGAATGTGTCTATTTATTTGTTTTCAATAAAGTTTATTACCCTATATCGTATTTACATTAGAGGTATCTTTTATGAGATACCCCACGACGTATTACAACTCACTGTACTGCAGAAAGAAAAAGTCCGTTCAGGTAGCTAGGCTTCTAACGCGGCCCTTGCGTCTGTTTGCACGCTCAAAACGTAACGAAAGCCTAGGAGGAGTATAGGGCCGAGGGTATTTATATCAGCACTGGCCCCTCCCACAACTCCAGGCTCCACCTTTACGTATATATATGAAGAGACAAATAAAACCACAATAGTGTACACTGAAATATGCAGTGTAAAACACAATCAAAAAGTTAGAAAAAAACCTACTCACATCCAGCAGCAGCAGAAACGGGTCCAATAAAAAAAGTACTTTAATAATTAAAAAACAATAAAAGTAATAAGGTAAAATAAATATATAAAACAGCATGTCACCTAAAACATAGGCTTTCTCTCTACATACTTCACCATATACGATTTTAACCTTTTTTTACAAGGGTACCTCTCACCACGACAATACAAAGAATTTACCTCACAATTGATCCTTAGGCGGGGATTATTCCACCCAGGCGCATAAATTGGAGCTGTATTGAAGTTCTTAAAACATGTGAGTGCACATTTTTCATTTTATTTATAGAAACATAGACACATAGAATGTGACGGCAGATAAGAACCATTCGGCCCATCTAGTCATCTAATTTTCTTTCAATACTTTCATTAGTCCCTAGCCTTATCTTTTAGTTAGGATAGCCTTATGCCTATCCCACGCATGCTTAAACTCCTTTACTGTGTTAACCTCTACCACCATAGCTGGAAGGCTATTCCATGCATCCACTACCCTCTCAGTAAAGTAATACTTCCTGATATTATTTTTAAATCTTTGTCTCTCTAATTTAAAACTATGTCCTCTTGTTAAAATACTACAATATTGTGTTTCTCTGTTTGTCTTTTTTGACATTTCATATACCCATAAAGGACTATTTAGGCTCTGCACCTTTCCCCTGTTTTTTTATCCAGCTTTCAATTGGAAGAGAGAGATTTCGTACTTGGTGTTTGATCTGCCATTGGTCTGTAATCATTTTACCTAAGCGCTGAATTATAATCTTATCTTACACTCAGACACTACACACACCACTCAGACTCACCTCCACACACAAACGACTCTGACTTCTCCATACGCAAAATTCAGCAACCACACACAAAACACTAAGCCAGCACACACAGGCACATTCACCCTCCCCCACCACATACAGCTTTCAGCATCCTCCCCACACTCCCCACTCACCACACAATACTCACAGAAACAGAGCCCAGGACTAAAGGGGGGACCCAATCTATTATTCTGCTTAAGGTCCTGGGAAACATTAATCCAGCTCTGGAGCTGGTATTCAGTTGCTAGACCAAACTCTGCATTTCTCCATAGACCGAACCCTGTAGCTCTTCATAGACTGAACCCTGCAGCTCTTCATAAACTGAACCCTGCAGCTCTCCATAGACCGAACCCTTCATCTCTCCATATACTGAACTGTGCAGCTCTCCATAGACTGAACCCTGCAGCTCTTCATAGACTGAACCTTGCAGCTCTTCATAGACTGAACCTTGCAGCTCTTCATAGACTGAACCTTGCAGCTCTTCATAAACTGAACCCTGCAGCTCTCCATAGACCGAACCCTGCAGCTCTCCATAGACTGAACCCTGCAGCTCTTCATAGTCTGAACCTTGCAGCTCTTCATAAACTGAACTCTGCAGCTCTCTATAGACTGAACTCTGCAGCTGTTCATAGATGTAACCTTGCAGCTCTCCATAGACTGAACCGTGCAGCTCTTCATAGACTGAACACTGAATCCTGCAGATCTCTAAATACTGCACATTGAACATGCAATTCTCCATAAACTGCACACTGAACCATGTATGTCTTATGAATCATTTTACTGCGCACACATATAACTTTCCACAAGCCCATTACACAATCACTGGAATTCACTATGGCGTGAGGGATTTAAATTGCAAAATGTAAGTCCGAATAAACAAACTGAAAACCTTTGAATTCGATTTGAAGTTCCAGCCATTCAGACTTAGTGAATAACCCTGTGAAGGGTGCAGGGCAGCTTGGGTTATGGGGTGCAAAGGACTGTGACTCCCAACATTCTGAGTCATAAACACAATAAAGACCAAAAATACGTTGAAAGAGATTAATTGCACCCAAACTGTAACTAGTGGATTTATTGTGTGGATATAATTCTAGTGATGGCAATCCCGGTAATGGCAATCCCCTCTTTATGGCCTTAAATATGAAATTCACTTTGAATTCTCAGTTTAGTAAATAACTCTGTTAGGATTGTAAGGATTAACGGTGACAGTGAAGGAACACTGCACCAGATTAGTGATAAAATCACAAACAGGATTATTTACTAAACAGCCGACTGAGAAAGTATTTCTAATTCGGCTATTTTGGCCTTAAATTTGAAATTCAGTTTTAATTCCCACATTCTCCACTTAGTAAGTAACCCTGTCAGTGTAATAATTGTTTTATTAAATAAACTAACTTGGGGAGACACGGATCGGACTGTCCCTGTGATTTCAACCTGTCTCATACTCGGCTAATCTCCACTGTGTGTCTGCCATGGTCATACTCAGTACAGATATAGAAAGAGACATCCTTTGTCCTGCATTAAATGGCAGACTCGCCCCTTAGATTGGAGCCATGTAATCTGCATTTCATTCACCGTCCTGGAGGGTTACAGTTACTCAGCCTGGAACCATAAATAGTGGTTTGGGCTCAAACAATAGAAACAATCAATAGAAAGATGGAGACACCGTGAATACTAATTAGTCCCACTGTTAGCATTACAAAGTGTGTCAGTTACACATTGTTTGGGAATGTCTGCAAAACATTAAAAAAATGTGATCTGTAAACTCAGTTAGGGATAAATAAGTACATTTGAAAATGGCTGAATTAAATAAGTCTCCACTAACATTTTACCTTTTTTGATCTTCAGTGAATAGTATTCTACAAATTGACTTTTCTACCCTACCCTTAACTTTTGTGTCACATTACCCCACTCCCTCTAACATGTAAGCTCACTGAGCAGGACCCCAATCCCTCTGTTACTGTCACTATACCCCACTCCCTCTAACATACCTTCTACTGGGCCATGTAAGCTCACTGAGTAGTAGCCCCTAATTTCAGCATTAAAGGCTTTTAAGGGCCAATTTAGTACAAATCTCACTGAGGCAGGGCCCTCGCTGTAATCCTCTCTGCAGCATGTGTTACTATACCACTCTCACATGTAAATTCCTACCGAAAGCAGGCTCTCAATTCCTCTGTGCTACTAGTCACTTATAAATTTCTACTTTCAAATATGTGCTCACCGAAAGTATAATCTCTCAACCTCTCTTGTTACGTTTATACCTACCCTCTAACATGTAAACTCTCTGAGCAGGGGCCTCAATCCCTCTGTTACTGTGTCACTATACCCCACTCCCTCTAACATGTAAACTCTCTGAGCAGGGCCCTCAATCCCTCTGTTACTGTGTCACTATACCCCACTCCTTCTAGCATGTAAACTCATTGAGCAGGCCCTCAATCCCTCTGTTACTGTGTCACTATACCCCACTCCCTCTAATATGTAAACTCACTGAGCAGGCCCTCAATCCCTCTGTTACTGTGTCACTATACCCCACTCCATCTAACATGTAAACTCACTGAGCAGACCCTCAATCCCTCTGTTACTGTGTCACTATACCCCACTCCCTCTAACATGTAACCTCACTGAGCAGGCCTCAATCCTCTTGTTACTGGTGTGTCACTATACCCCACTCCCTCTAACATGTAAACCCCAAATGAGCAGGCCTCTAACTTCTGTTACGCCACTATACCCCACTCCTCTACCATAAAACTTGAGCAGGCCCTCAATCCCTCTGTTACTGTGTCACTATACCCCACTCCCTCTAACATGTAAACTCACTGAGCAGGGCCCTCAATCCCTCTGTTACTGTGTCACTATACCCTACTCCCTCTAACATGTAAACTCACTGAGCAGGGCCCTCAATCCCTCTGTTACTGTGTCACTATACCCCACTCCCTCTAACATGTAAACTCACTGAGCAAGCCCTCAATCCCTCTGTTACTGTGTCACTATACCCCACTCCCTCTAACATGTAAACTCACTGAGCAAGCCCTCAATCCCTATGTTACTGTGTCACTATACCCCACTCCCTCTAACATGTAAACTCACTGAGCAGGGCCTCAATCCCTCTGTTACTGTGTCACTATACCCCACTCCCTCTAGAATGTAACCTCACTGAGCAGGCCCTCAATCCCTCTGTTACTGTCACTATACCCCACTCCCTCTAGCATGTAAACTCACTGAGCAGGCCCTCAATCCCTCTGTTAATGTGTCACTATACCCCACTCCCTCTAACATGTAAACTCACTGAGCAGGGCCTCAATCCCTCTGTTACTGTGTCATTATACCCCAGCATGTAAGCTCACTGAGCAGGGCCCTCAATCCTCTGTTACTGTCACTATACCCCCACTAACATGTAAACTCATTGAGCAGGGACCTCAATCCCCCTGTTACTGTGTCACTATACCCCACTCCCTCTAACATGTAAACTCACTGAGCAGGCCCTCAATCCCTCTGTTACTGTGTCACTATACCCCACTCCCTCTAGCATGTAAACTCACTGAGCAGGCCCTCAATCCCTCTGTTACTGTGTCACTATACCCCACTCCCTCTAACATGTAAGCTCACTGAGCAGGGCCCTCAATCCCTCTGTTACTGTCAGTATACCCCACTCCCTCTAACATGTAAACTCACTGAGCAGGGCCCTCAATCCCTCTGTTACTGTGTCACTATACCCCACTCCCTCTAACATGTAAACTCACTGAGCAGGGCCCTCAATCCCTCTGTTACTGTGTCACTATACCCCTACTCCCTCTAACATGTAAAGCTCACTGAGCAGGGCCCTCAATCCCTCTGTTACTGTGTCACTATACCCCACTCCCTCTAACATGTAAGCTCACTGAGCAGGCCCTCAATCCCTCTGTTACTGTGTCACTATACCCCACTCCCTCTAGAATGTAAGCTCACTGAGCAGGCCCTCAATCCCTCTGTTACTGTGTCACTATACCCCACTCCCTCTAACATGTAACCTCACTGAGCAGGACCCCAATCCCTCTGTTACTGTGTCATTATACCCCACTCCCTCTAACATGTAACCTCACTGAGCAGGACCCCAATCCCTCTGTTACTGTGTCATTATACCCCACTCCCTCTAACATGTAAACTCACTGAGCAGGGCCCTCAATCCCTCTGTTACTGTGTCACTATACCCCACTCCCTCTAACATGTAAGCTCACTGAGCGGGGCCCTCAATCCCTCTGTTACTGTGTCACTATACCCCACTCCCTCTAACATGTAACCTCACTGAGCAGGGCCCTCAATCCCTCTGTTACTGTGTCACTACACCCCACTCCCTCTAGAATGTAAGCTCATTGAGCAGGACCCTCAACTCCTCTGTTTCTGTGCGTCCAACTCGTCTTGTTACAATTATATGTCTGTAAGTCCACCCATTGTACAGCGATGCAGAATTTGTTGGCGCTATATAAATAATAATAATAATCTTTGGTTTATAGAAGGCTGTTTCCTACAGCTCTGTATGTGGGTACAATGTGCTCCCTGCCAGATCTCCCAACAATTCCAGATTCTTTGAAACAATCTTGAGTCTTTAGGGCACTTGCCTGTCACCCTAGGTTGGCTCTTTGGTGTCCCACTTCTGGGGAGACAGAGACAAGTCCACAGTTAGCTTGTGGTGGGCTTGTGTTGTGTGAAATGAGCTCAGAGTAATTTGTCAAGGTTAGTGTTTTGCACACGGTCCACCATGAATGAAGCTGGCCAAATAGCTGACATGCTGTCCTGCACTCCTCCATCATGATTCACCCCCTCAGTGTTTGGAGATTCAGGGAGATACGGAGATACATTCTACTGTGGAATTTCAAGATATATCTTACCTCCATCCCATGTTGCTGAATGGGTTAAAACCCCTTTAGTGACTTACCTGAATCCAGCGCCGATGTCCCACGCTTCTCCCCCACCATCAGCCAACGAGGGAGACCTAATGCTCATGCGCATCAATGACCGTGCGCACGCATTAGAACTCCCCATAGGAAAGCATTATTCAATTCTTTCCTATGGGGATTATGGCGACGCTGGAGGTCCTCATGAATAGCGTAAGGACGTCCAGCGTCATTGATAGACAGCCACTAGAGGAGGACTTAACTCTTCAGGGTAATTATTGCAGTTTATAAAAACAGCAATAATTACACTTGCAGGGTTAAGGGTGGTAGGAGTTGGCAAAAGTGGTCTGGGTGCCTGGATTCTCCCTTTAAGAAGCTACATGTTGTTTTATGGCACAACTCATGGACCCAAAATCATGGCAACACCCCGCCCCCCCCAAGCCCCAAACCATAGTGAGAGCTATATAAACCTATAGCATTAAAGAAATGTTGTTTGATACGATGAGTCAATAATGTAAAGCCCCCCCCCCCACCCCACAGCCATCATTTTATGGATCTCTTACTGGACATCAAAAGGGAACCTTCAGGGGGAATTTCCCAGTTCTTTAATTCCTGCTGCTTTAAACTAGTTTCTGGTTCATAAAACAGATAATGGGACAGGGTAGGTTTAAACCAGATAGGCTTTTATAGTAAACTGCTCCCCCCACTCCCTTTTATTTCTGTACATAATAAGGTGAGCTGTTTGTTATCCCAAAGAAAGATATTTTATTTTTTGTTGTTGCAGGAACCAATACTCTCAATCAGATCAATACAGTATCAGCTAGAAACAGCAGGACTCACATTTAACACAAGTCAGGGCATTTGAGAGCCTGGGGCTGCTTCTCTCAATCACTTAGATTTCTATGACCCCAAGGGATTCAGTGGGTTTGGACAGTCTGTAGCTTAATTTCCTGGAGCTTTCACCCTGCTGGATCGACATGAACCCCAAACTGTGAACCCATCAGTGTATTTAAAGGACAACATTGCGTCCAATTAAAAGATGTGCTCATTCACCTATACGGTCACCAAATGTTACATTCCATACAGTGTGAAAGTGTTTTAATTTACCTGACTATGAGTGACTCTGATTACAGACCCCCCACATCTAACCATTTATATAAAAGTCTATATTTATATAAACTACGTTTATAAGTTTATACGTTTATACGTTTATAAGTCTACGTTTATATAAAAATCCATCTGTATATAAATGTCCCCTCCATTTAGCATACATACATATATAAGTATACAGAAATAACTCCTATCTGCTCATCACTATAGAATTAGCCTGTGTATAATTAGCCCTTAAACCCTGTCTCATCCTGTCCCTCTATAATTAATAGTAGAATGAATAAAAAAATATCCCGGAACACATAGCCTCTATCCCAAACTGCAGACTTTATTGCAGTTTAAAAAAAAAAGGTAACAGTTTAAAAAAAAAGGTAAAAAATCCAGTTGAACTTCAATAGTCTGTATTTTGGGAGAGAGCCTGTGTGTGCCTGATCTATAATTCATGAGGGAGGGGTGCTCCCCCCGGTCCGTGTGACACCGTAGCATTGATCCCCAATCTTTATTGGTGAGTTCCATTCCTCATTAAAACTGTGTCTGTAATTAATAGCCGTGTGCATTACCTTTCAGTTTTGGTTGGTAGGCGATTCATGTGAATAACGGAACTCCATATTAACAAATTATAAAACAAACTAAACGGGGACTGAACAAACCTTCCCCCTCGTCCTCCCCCCTTCAAAAAAGACAATTGATGGCTACGGATGAAAGTCACTTTAATGTTCACTTTGATGTTACTGTACTACGCTATTTATCATCAGTATTTTTTCACTCTAGTGGAATATTTGATTCTTATTCTTCCAGGTTGTTATAATTCTTTATTATTATTTTCATACATTTATTGTGTTTTTCCCACATTCTTTATTCCATTGTATATTTTGCAGTGTGTTTGTTTGTGAGGGACACCTGGGATATCACTTTTTTAACGTATTTTTCACTATATTTATTTTTCACATTTTAGTGTATATTTATTATTGTTTACATTTGGTGATCGAGCGAGAAGTTACCTATAGGTGGAAGAAAAGAAAAGTATAAAAATCAAAATATAGATATTATATAAATATAGCGATTTCGTTCCTTCCTGCTCCTTCTCTTTTCTTCACTTGATCTGTGAAATGACAGAAAGGTGCTCCTATCAGTCAACTGTAAAACGTAAACATAATATAATAATAATTAATATATATTATAATATTATATTATTTCATGCCCTGTGCTGTAGGGGAATCATTTTTCTTGAAATTTGTCTAAATGGAACTGCCCCATAAACAAAACCCGAATTGCCCAAAATAATGAAATTTTAGACAAATGGATTTGGACAAACTTAATTTTTAAGTCTAATAATTAATATAAACTCTTTTTATTTGTCGATCATATTATTTCTGCGTCTCCCCTATGTTAAGGCATTGTGTGCCCCTTTACATTTATCCTTACTGTGTGTCTGTGATTTCACCACCTTCTGTCTCTCAGCACCATTTAGCCAAAGAAATAACATTGGATAAATTCCATCTCTTTATCTGCTCTAATATTTCACAATCTCATCACCTGCATCATCTATTATCCTGATATAATAATATGTTCCTGACAATTTGTAGAAAGGCCAAAACAAGAATAAGTCAACAGCAATTTCTCAAGAGACCGTGGGGGGTGAGGGCATACCAGAGGGTGGTCTGAGTACATTACAAGAAGAGGAGGAATTAGGAAATTCCTAAAAACTGCTCCTCCCCAACCTGGCCTTATAAAACAGACCTGTTTGTAGTACAGAGTGAAGAATAGAAGCTGAGACAAGATGAGGCTTTTTCTGATCATTGTTCTGTCTGTCTGCCAGGCCAACGCTGCCTCGCTGGTAAGTGCTTATTTTACAACGCTGCTACATACTCCCTGCTTTACCTAGATCATTTTATTATTATTATTTTATTATTTATATAGCGCCAGCAAATGCCATAGCGCTGTACAATGGGATCTACTTACCTGCCGGGGAAATGTATCCAAAAACATACAAAAACGATCTGTACTTATTTTTGATACATTTTGTTTTGCTATTTATCATAGAGAAAAGTTATTTACACGTTGTTATTATTTACACATTGTGTCGGATATTCGATTTTATTGTCTTAGGTGTTTTTCATTATAATTTACATGTTTTGTGGTTTGGTGGTTTTTGTTATATTTATTTTGGTGAAGATTTAGGTTCTGCTACATCATAGTATTTCGTGTTTAAAGACGCAATATCTGAACTGGAAGCATTTCTGGAGAGTTTTTCCATTCAGACATTGTGACTTTGAATTTGAAATTCCTGTTTAATTCTCACTTTAGTTTATGACCCTGTATTGAGCGAGAACTGGTGCCAATCCAAAGTGGCTTTCACATTTTAGACCCAAATAGTTGAACTGAAAACATTTTGGCCGAAAATGTGGGATTTCTCACCAAGAGAATTTTTGGGAATTCAAAGTGAATTTTAAACTTAAATAGCCAAACGAGAAGCGCGAGAAAATCTGCAATTCAATTACTTTGGCCTTAAGAGACTCACTATAATATATATAAATAACCCTATAGAAATGTCCCTTCAATTCTCACTTCCGTGAATAATTTGGCTCTCCTGCTTTAATTTGGGATTTTATTGAACCAAAGAAGCAACAATTCACAAACTGAATATAATGCTGGCTGGAGATAAAGACGTAGGCACCAAATATAACCTCTGGTTCCATTGTTCCATATCACTGGATGCTTTGGTGCCTACGCCTTTATCTCCAGCCAGCATTATATTCAGTTTGTGAATTTTTGCTTCTTTGTTTCTGTTGCTAGTATCCAGGGATAAGCCCTTGGGCATTGCTGGCGTGCCCTCCTGGTGTATGGGATCAGTGTGGAGGTGGTGTTTATTCCCTTTTACACCCATTTTCACACTGATCCCATTTCTTTCTATTTTTTCTGGGAAACAAACAATTATCCCAGGTACTGTATTCATTAAACGGTGAATTGTAGAGAATTCAAATGTTTTTGTCTATTTTGATAATTGACATTACATCCCCGGTTCTCTATTTTGTTTAGACTTTTGCAAATAAATTCTCAGATTAACACAATGTTTACTATAGTGTAACACAGTAAAGGAGTTTAAGCATGCGTGGGATAGGCATAAGGCTATCCTAACTATAAGATAAGGCCAGGGACTAATGAAAGTATTGGGCAGACTAGCTGGGCCGAATGGTTCTTATCTGCCGTCACATTCTATGTTTCTATGTTTCTAGTGAATTGATCCCTGCGGTTCACATCAATCTGATTAATTTAGTTGTTAAGTTTTCATTTAAGTGGGTTTTATTTACTAAATTTCGTATTACGGGAATTTACAGACAAACATCATGATAGGAGCACTTACTCAAACACACGTATATTAACAGGAAAGATTGCTAAATTCAAATCGACAAACCTCAAATTAAAAAAAACAATAGATGATGAGAACTAAACAATGGAGATCGGCTACAAACATGCTTGCTGTGCTACCTCAGTCACAATACAAAAATACTTCCATCCATCTCTGCCAGAAGATCCAATCACATGGGGTGCTCTCGTTATTAATATAACATATTGTTCGCCCTGCATTAAATCCAGTCCCTCTTATAAGTTTAAAGACTAGCTGTATGATTATACTATAACTTCTGTAACTGTATTAGACACTGTATAATACATTGTGTAATATTACTTGTTTGTAGATAATATTAGGAAATGGTTATTTATGTAAGATGTATTTCAATTAAATTGATACATCTGTCTTTCACACAGGAAGTTAATTCCACAGGATCACTGGACGAAAATGGAGTCTGCAAATGCGCCATTATCCTCCCGGATACGACCTTCCCTGTTGAACGCATGGAGTTCCTTGAGATGGCAAATTATAACCTGAGTCTCAATGTCCAGCAGGCGGTCTCTAAGGTAAGAAGGAATTAAATTAATGAGATGGTAAATGGGAAGAACACGTTGATTAGAATGTATTCAGTGAGGGAATAAGGGTCCCAACTTCCCAACTATGTTTCACATTTGTCTCTCAAATCTTTCTAGATACAAAGTTACCAGGTGACACTTGTGGAATCCCTCCAGAAGTTGAAGAACCTGACCAGGAGGGTGGAGGTGATGGAGTTGGGTGGAATCTCTTATACTGAGCTGGACTTTGAACTGCTGAAGTTAGAAATAAGAGAGATGGAATCCTTAGCTATCCAGCTCAGAGCTTCCTTCAATGGATCTAGTGCTTTGGTGGAGACTCTCTTTGTAGAGGTGCGTGAACCAATTCAAAATATAATACAAAATGTCAAGAAAACCATAAAGCATAGGTCTATTTAAAATGACCAACATGTTGCATAATGTACAACTTTATTCATTTCATACCTTGCAGATCCAAAACATATCCATCATGGTGAACCAACTGGAATCGCATGATAAGAACAATGTCCTTGCAGTGAAACGAGAAATTGCCTCCTTACGGAAACGCTTGGAGGACTGTGAGAAGCACCAAGATAATCCAGCTGTCCCATCTGTCCCCTACGGTAAGCACAAAATTATCACAACGTCAGAGAGCTTTTTAAAAAAAAAAAAGTTTTAGCCTTTAGTTGATGATAAAACCACACACCCAGATATTTACACTTACATACACATATAAACACAAGATTTGGAGATTCACTTCAGTCCAAACTGCTATTCATCTGAATTTTAGCCAATCGGGTGATCGGTCAAATTCCTGAACGCTGAGCTGAAATGAACCGAATCATGACCCAACTAAGATGCGCGATGGCCAAGGCTGTTGGTTTCAGTTCGTGATTTTGGATTCCACTTGTGCTGCAAAAAAAAGATACAATTGATGGGGAAAAAAGATTATTTATGGCTAGAAGACAGTCAGGAAAGGCTGATTTTAGTTACAGATGAAGTGAGAAGTGACAACAGAGAGAAAAAAGAGAAGCAGTAAAAATAGTTTATTTTAAGTTTTTCATAAATTTATATAATTTTTTTTCTCCTCTTCTTTTTCCCTCGATTGCTCACTTCTCACTTGATCTGTGAACCAAATGGCAGAATATGCTTTTATCAGTGTACTGCAATAAATAAAATATTATTAGTAGTAAAATTTATTTTATTTATTATTGTAACACAGTGATTGGCCCATTTTGTAACCCTTTTATTTGTCTGATAACGGTTTCTGAATCAAGTTTTCAGCACAAAAATTCTGCTGCGCAAAATCAATATATGGTTTAATTCACATAAACACACACAACACGAACATGAATAGATTTACCTATCTTCTGGTTTATTGACCTTTTTCCCACAGTACTTCATACTTCCCAACTCCGCCGTCCCAACTTGGTGGGGTTGGGGGGGTGACAAAGGGGGCGGAGAAGTGATGTGATTGCGTCACAAGCTCTGCCCCCAAAGAATCGAACCAGCCCCAAAAATGGACCGGTCCATCTGAGATTATGGTAGATAAACTATGAGTGAAATCACATCAGAATACATGTCCATCACACAGGTCAGCCCACTGAGGGCAGGACATGCAGGGAGTACCGTTTCAATGCTCCCTGCCTGCAAGATCCTAGTGCCCTGAATGTAGGGCAAGCGAATCTAAGAAAGCGCTCATGCCATGACTGTTGGGGATAGTTCCCTTGTGTCCCCAAAAGCTGGACATCAGTGGCCTAAGGTGGGACAGGACATGAATATCCAGACTGTCCAACCGAAATTGGGATTGTTGGGAGGCGTGGTACATTCATGTTGGTCTGTTTACAAAAACATCTTAGAGGAGAAACCAAGTGTGAGATAGCAGTTTGTGGCTACTATAGAGAATAATCAGAGTCATAAACCGCTACTTAGTAACTGTCTTTAGGCAGCAGCAGTTGTTAATGCTCTGTCGCTACTGGTGAAATCAATAAACAGCTGTACTTACTAACAGTAGTGGTTAACACTTTAGCAAATAGTCAAGCAAACTATGACAACGGGTTCAGTCAATTTTTTTAGAACGGGGGGGGGGTTAATCATAAACAGTAAACAAGAATATTAGTTTCAGTAATATCATTATTATAATATTAAATATATATTATATTATTATATTATAATATTGATATTCATTTATCTTTTTAACTATTTAACGTGGTGGCTGACTAGTGAGTGCTGGCAGGGGCCACATAATTAAACCTTGCACCACCTAGAGTTTTTTAGCTACTTGCTCATTGACTGTTAACATAGAACAAATTTAGGATTCCCCGAACTAAAAAGAATTCTGAAAATCAATTCGGCCAAATCAAATTTTTTTCAAGATGCACAAATCTAGTTAATGCCACCAAGAACAAGTGATGGGAATTAAAAATGTTTTAGCGCAATGAGTGTCAAGCTATAATGTCCTCGTTTACTATTTTATACCACCTTTCTATCTACAGGAACTTGCAAACATGGAGGAATTCAAAACATCAGCAAACCATTTGTGGTACAGCTCAACTATTTAGGATTTGCCTATAAGTTTGGAGGTTGGGGCAAGGATTCAATGTTAGAGGCCGATCAGGATATCCACTGGGTGGCCCCTCTGACTACGGATGGGAGATCCATGAATAGTATACGCTTCTACCCTTCATACGACGATCTCCTGCTCTACAAAAAACCTACAGACAAGGTCCTCACTAAACCTATAGCATACAACAATATTGACTACTCCAGCAGTGGACAAGGTGGCGGTGTGATCATGTTTAATGAATCCATGTACTACAACTGCTACAATACTAGGGACCTCTGCAAGTTTAATACAAAAACAAACGCTGTGGAGCGTAAAACATTCACAGATGCCACATTCAACAATCGGTTCTCTTATGCCTCCACTCAGTGGCAAGACATTGACTTGGCTGCCGATGAAGATGGTCTTTGGGTGATTTATTCCACAGAGCAGAATGCAGGAAATATAATTATCAGTAAACTGAATTCAACCTCCATGATAGTAGAGAAGACTTGGACTACCTCCCAATACAAGCTTGGAGTTACCAACAGCTTCATGGTATGCGGTATTCTATATGCAACACGGACTCTTAACACAAGAAGGGAAGAGATCTTCTACATGTATGACACCAAGACAGGTACTGAAGGGAAGCTGAGTATCCCCTTTGACAAGATGATGGAGAACATTCAAAGTCTGTCCTACAACCCCAATGACCACAAGCTCTACATGTATAATGATGGCTACCTGGTCACTTATGATCTCAACTATAAACCACTTTCAAAGACAATCAGATAGAATGACCTCCATAAAGATCAAGTAACTACAGTTCCCCGCCAGATTGCCCTAAAGAGCTTTAAACTGAGAGTCTAAACTATATCTCTCCATTTCTTTAAATCCCCATCCAGTTCTGTTCTCCTGCATAACACAGCGTCCACAATGAAAATGTAATAATTTTTTTTATCAAAACAGCAAGTTAAATAGAAATGCATTATTATTTTGAATACAAAAGCAACAAAATTAAATGTTTTTAAAAATTAAAACGGACTCATTATATTTGACCAACTGTAATTTGACTAAAATTATATTTTATATCATAATTATAATTATATTATATTTTAAATCATTAAGACTAGAGTTGAGCGAACCCGGACTGTAAAGTTCGGGTTCGTACTGAACATTAGGACATATCACTGTATGTTCGGGTTGGAGTTCAGCGATTTAATGGCGCGTTTTCAAAGTCTGCAGGGCAGCCAATCAACAGGTGTTTGACTCGTGTGTCCCTAGAAGCCATCACAGCCATGCCTACTAATGGCATGGCTGTGATTGGCCAGTGCAGCATGTGACCCAGCGTCTATATATAAGCTGGAGTCGCATAGCGCCACACTCACATGCGGTCTTATTAGTGTAGGGAGAGGATGCTGCCGCTGATAGGGACAGCTTAGGAAAGAATTCTGCAAACTAGTACATTAGTGGGGTGGGGTGATCTTCATATCTGAGAGTCAAATAGAAGCTTCAAATACCGCGGTTACATCTGAGTTTTAAAAAAGTTATTTTTTTTTTGCTAAATAGTAAATTAGTGGGATAGTACATTAGTGGGATGCACTTCATATCTGAGAGTCAAATAGAAGCGTCAAATACTGCTGTCACATTGCAGTTTTAAAACTTAAAATTATTTGGGTGCTAAACTGCTAAATAGTATTTTAGTGGGGTGCACTTCATTTTTGTGAGTCCAATCGAAGTGTCAAATAGTGCGCTTACTGCGCAGTTGTAAACATTCTAATTGGTTTGCTACTAATCTGCTGCTTACATTGAGGTTTGAAAAGTCAGTTGTTTTTTTTAAGTTTTTTTTGGTGCTAAATAGTATATTCGGGATGTTCACTTCATATCTGAGAGTCAAATCGAAGTGTAACTTTGATTCGAATTTACTACATTGGTCACTTGTAATATTGTTTCACACCTACAACACTTGTTACACAGATCTAAGTGATAGAAAACAGATTGATAACAAGCTGCTATATTTAAACCAGTTACCAATAGCTAAGAGGTACTTCAACAATATTGTAATTCTGGGGCAATACCCTCACAAGTCAAACTGAGAGGTCAGTTATTTATTGATTTCAATGGGGTTCGGGGTCAAGTTCGATCACGAACCCGGACTTTTTTTCAAAGTTCGGCCCGAACCCGCCGGACCTGAACATCCAGGTGTCCGCTCAACTCTAGTTAAGATATTTGATGAAATGAAACACTGATGGGAATTAATTAAACTTGGCTTGTAAAGTGTGAATGTTCTAATATTCCTAACGCTGAGCTAAGTTTCATGGTCGCTTATTCTCACTAGTCTCCTAGTGCTATACATAGAGTATTACTACAAAATGTTAATTCCATGCTTGCTCCTGTCATGGATGTCCCTCTAGGTCTTAGGACACAATTTAACAGATATGACTGAATGAGGTGAGGGCACAGTTGAAATGGATAATAAGTATATTACACAAATGCTCCAAACATACACACACTAGCATACTAAGTAGGTAAAAACCCAAATATCATAAGTCTTGGGTGTGAGTAGGAACAAAGATTGAGGAGAACAAAATCTGGACCTGAGAGAACCTGGAATGGGTAAAACAAACAATAAGTCTCATCTCCTTACTCCATATAATCCTCCTGGCCCTCCTTATATAACTCTTGTTCTGCTCCTCCAAGCTCCATATAACCTCTATAACTCCTCTTATTACTCCTCCTCACTATAACTCCTCTATTGCTCCATATAACCCTCCCTATAACTCCTCCTATTACTCCATATAACCTCCCTATAATCCTCCTATTACTCCATATAACTCCTATATATACTCCTATAACTCCTCCTGTACTCCTTATAATCCTCCCTATTGCTCCATATAACTCTCCCTATAGCTTTCCTCCCTGTACTCCATATAACCCTCCGCTCCTCCTATTGCCTCCATAACCTCTATAACCCCTCCTATTACTCCGTTATAACTCTCCATGTATAACTCCTCCTATTACTCCATATAAACCCTCCCTATAGCTCCTCCTATTACTCCGCCTATAACCATCCCTATAACCCCTCCTATTACTCGTATGCTCTCCTATAACTCCTCCTATTACTCCATATAACCCTCCCTATAACTCCTCCTATTACTCCATATAACCCTCTCTATAACCCCTCCTATTACTCCATATAACCTTCCCTATAACTCCTCCTATTACTCCATATAACCTTCCCTATAACTCCTCCTATTACTCCATATAACCCTCCCTATAACCCCTCCTATTACTCCATATAACTCTCCCTTTAACTCCTCCTATTACTCCATTTAACTCTCCCTATAACTCCTCCTATTACTCCATATAACCCTCCCTATAACTCGTCCTATTACTCAGTATAACCCTCCCTATAACCCCTCCCATTACTCCATATAACTCTCCCTATAACTCCTCCTATTACTCCATATAACCCTCCCTATAACTCCTTCTATTACTCCATATAACCCTTCCTATAACTCCTCCTATTACTCCATATAACCCTCCCTATAAACCCTCCTATTACTCCATATAACCCTCCCTATAACATCTCCAATTACTCCATATAACCCTCACTATAACTCCTCCTATTACTCCATAGAACCCTCACTATAACTCCCCCTATTACTCCATATAACCCTCCCGATAACTCCTCCTATTACTCCATATAACACTCCCTATAATTCCCCCTATTACTCCATATAACCCTCCCTATAACCCCTCCTATTACTCCATATAACTCTCCCTTTAACTCCTCCTATTACTCCATATAACCCTCCCTATAACCCCTCCTATTACTCCATATAACTCTCCCTTTAACTCCTCCTATTACTCCATTTAACCCTCCCTATAACTCCTCCTATTACTCCATATAACCCTCCCTATAACTCCTCCTATTCGCTATATAACCATCCCTATAACTCCTCCTATTACTCCATATAACTCCTCCAATTACTCCATATAACCCTCCCTATAACGCCTCCTATTACTCCATGTAACCCTCCCTATAACTCCTCCTATTACTCCATATAACCCTCCCTATAATTCCTCTTATTACTCAATATAACCCTCCCTATAACTCCTCCTATTACTCCATATAACCCTCCCGATAACTCCTCCTATTACTCCATATAACACTCCCTATAACTCCCCCTATTACTTCATATAACCCTCACTATAACTCCTCCTATTACTCCATAGAACCCTCACTATAACTCCCCCTATTACTCCATATAACCCTCCCGATAACTCCTCCTATTACTCCATATAACACTCCCTATAACTCCCCCTATTACTCCATATAACCCTCACTATAACTCCTCCTATTACTCCATATAACCCTCACTATAACTCCCCCTATTACTTCATATAAATCCTCCTATTACTCCCTATAACTCATCCTGTTACTCTTATTACTTTAAACCAGTTGCAGGTTCATAAAACAGATAATGGGACGGGATAAGTTTAAACCAGATATGCTTTTATAGTAAACTGCTCCCCCCAAGGGATTCAGTGGGTTTGGACAGTCTGTAGCTTAGTTTCCTGGAGCTTTCACCCTGCTGGATCGACATGAACCCCAAACTGTGAACCCATCAGTGTATTTAAAGGACAACATTGCGTCCAATTAAAAGATGTGCTCATTCACCTATACGGTCACCAAATGTTACATTCCATACAGTGTGAAAGTGTTTTAACTTACCTGACTATGAGTGACTCTGATTACAGACCCCCCACATCTAACCGTTTATATAGAAGTGCCCCCATCCATCTGTATAGAAATGTCCCCTCCATTCAGCATACATACATATATAAGTATACAGAAATAACTCCTATCTGCTCATCACTATAGAATTAGCCTGTGTATAATTAGCCCTTAAACCCTGTCTCATCTTGTCCCTCTATAATTAATAGTAGAATGAATAAAAAAATATCCCGGAACACATAGCCTCTATCCCAAACTGCAGACTTTATTGAATTTTAAAAAAAAGGTAAAAAATCCAGTTGAACTTCAATAGTCTGTATTTTGGGAGAGAGCCTGTGTGTGCCTGATCTATAATTCATGAGGGAGGGGTGCTCCCCCCGGTCCGTGTGACACCGTAGCATTGATCCCCAATCTTTATTGGTGAGTTCCATTCCTCATTAAAACTGTGTCTGTAATTAATAGCCGTGTGCATTACCTTTCAGTTTTGGTTGGTAGGTGATTCATGTGAATAACGGAACTCCATATTAACAAATTACAAAACAAACTAAACGGGGACTGAACAAACCTTCTTTGTTTTATGGTTTGGAGCTCTCCCCGGGCCCCCTCGTCCTCCCCCCTCAAAAAAGATGACTGATGGCTACGGATGAAAGTCAATTTAATGTTCACTTTGATGTTACTGTATTACTGTCACGTATTCATCCGCTTATAAAAATTTGATTAATGGAATTTACTGTCCTGACAGGAAAAGTTGTGCCGAGCAGCAATCAATCCACAGGAGGGTTTGTGCTGAGCAGCAATTATGCAAATGGTAACCTTGTAACTGCCTTTGGGGTTGAAGGCCGGTTACAGCCTATCTGATCTAGAGGAGGGTTATTTAGGCCCAGTTCTCATCCTGCTCAGTGCCCTGTCGTGGTTTCCCTTGTGGTTGTCCGAGAGCGCGTTATTGATTTTGGTTATTTGACTTTGGCATTGTTTTTGACTTCCCTGTTTTCTGGCATACCTGACTCCTGGCTTTTCCTTATCATTGTGTCTCTTTCTGTATCCCTTGACCTCGGCTATTCCTGACTATTCTTTGGTATGTTAGTCCGGCCATTCTAAGGTCCGGTATACGTTACCTACCAGTCCTCTGTATTACACAATTCTACGTGCTGGATCATTCTGTGATCCTGACAATTACGCTATTTATCATCAGTATTTCTTCACTCTAGTGGAATATTTGATTCTTATTCTTCCAGGTTATTATAATTTTATCACATGACAGGAGGCTTCATATTTTGCATAACTTTCTTTACTTTATGCCTCCAGCAGCACAAGTCAATCAGAAAAAACTTTAAACCAATCAGTAACAGGCATCACATCCATATATAAAGCCTTGACAGACACATGACTTCCTCTTTCTTTGCTGCTTACCAGCCAAGGCACAGGTCAGAGTATTTTGCTCCAAACTGTTTTACTGATATTGCAAATTGTCATTAGTTTATCATTTATTGCTTAACTTTCAGTTTGCTCCAAACTGTTATTTTATTAATATTGCTATGGTCACTGTAGTTAGACACCTTATGCTAGACATTCAGTTTTCTGGATATTGCAATGGTCACTTTAATTAAACTTTATTACTTGACTTTCAGTTTGCTCCAACTGTTTTTATTAATATTGCTATGGTCACTTTAGTTAGATTTTAACGTTAGACATTTTGTTTTTGCTCCAAACTGTTACTGGATATGCATGGCCACTTTAGTTAAACTTTATTAGCTTGTCCTGCATCTTGACCTAAACGGTTTTCATTATTTTGCACTTGCCTTCCATTTGGACTCGTATAGTGTGATATTCTCCCCCTGTTACCCTTCCCCCGAATTAACCCTGTATTTTACTGCTTTATTAGCCTGTTTGGTTTTCTGTTGCTGGCACTTTTTCTTTCCTATGCTTTACTCTGGTCTCGCACGGATCGCGGCGTTTTACTGCGATCGTGTTTTTATACCGCGATTGCTGCGTTTTACTGCGAGCATGCTTTTTTATTTACTGGTGCTGGGACTTCAGGGCAGGTCTCTGGGGGTTGGGGGTGTCGGGGGGACTCTGTTCCATACCAGCGGGCTGCGCTCGTATCCTCGATCACGGGCCGCT